ACACACACACACACACACACACACACACACACACGAAACCAAAGAAAAGTAAGATAGAAAGAAACCGGCCAAGGGGCACCCACCTCACCTATAGCTTTGCTCCTACCTACATGGTTATTTTGAGGAAAACTGCCACAGTTGGGGAGAGCTCTGCGTCTCTCCCTTCCTCTACATTCTTCTCTGGACGTTGATCGCAGTCAACCAGAGGAGACTGTGGTCAAGAAATTAGACTCTTAGGGCTGTGGCATTTAGTCATGGGTGGCACTGGAGGCTGTGTGATGGAGTTCAGTGGGAGAGGTGGATCAGTGTGTGAGTGTGTGGGCCTGCTTATTTGGTGCTGCAGATTACTCTATAAATCTGCAAGGCCTCCTAAGCAAGAGTCCAGGCCAAGTACTTGTATGCACCACACTCGTCCTTAGACAACACTCTCCCTCCTGAGGAAGGGACCAAAGTTTGGATCAAAAGCAACCAGGTCCATCAGGCATCTGCACATTCTTGACCCATCTATCTGCAGGGAGTTGAAGCATATATTTGTTGGGATGGGACTGGACTGGACAGACTCTTGTGTGAGGCCTTCAGCTACCTCTATCACTAGAGCTTAGGCACTAATGCATGCCCAAAAGAGGGAGGGACATTCTGGGTGTGTCTCTCAGATGGCTCTCCTGGAGATAGAGCAACTTACCATGTCAGGTGGAGCATGGGTGCTCACCGGAATGTCGTGGTTCACCAGTTAATTCATTTTCTTTTTATTCTAGTTCTGCTTTCTTCTCCTCCTCCCTTTCTTCTTCTTCTTCTTACTATTCCTCCTTCTCCTCCTTCTCCTCCTCCTCCTCCTTTCTCTTCTTTGTTTTCCTATTCTTCTCTTTCTGATACCCTCCTTCCTCCTCCTGTTTTTTTGCCACTTCTTTTTCTTCCTGCTTTTGCTTCTGCTTGTGCTTCTTTTTCGGTTTCTCTTTTCACTTTCAGATCTGCGCAGGAATGTGTTCTAGGAAACTGTTTCATCTGCTGCTTTTTGGTAGTTCGGGATGTTTCAGTGCAGCACTAGGCCTGGGGGAACTTAACTATTGTTCTTAAAGAAGCAGAGATAAAAGTCACCGGTTGAGACCCTCTAGTGTACCAAAAAAGAGTGCACATGTTCCTTTCAGTGAATTGTCACTGTAAACCCGCCATTGACCCAGTACCTCACAAGCCATATATCCCGTTCTCCTTGTGGATGCTCTAAGTGTGCTCTGAGCCACTGGGAGCCTCGGCAAGTTGTTCCCTGTCTCCTTTCTTGTCAGTGAAGCCTGTGAACACTCCGCACTAGTGGGAGCCATGCAATTTGGAGAGAGCTAAAGGAAGGGAAAACAACATTCCCGCGGGGTCTCCCGCCTACTGGTTCTTGGTCCTAGGGTCCCCTGAGTTTCCTGGTCCATTTTGGCCCAGGTGGCTGATTCCTTTGTCTTTTTGCTGTCTGGTTTTATTTCTTTTTCTTTTTTACTTTTTTTACATTGGAAAAGGCGGAGGCACTCCGCCTGGAGGGGAAGGGTTATTATAGTTGTGCTTGGGGTTTGTGGAGCCATACTGCCATCAAGCGGAAAATGTTTCTGGAAATGGCAGGCAGCTGGGCACAAGTGCTGGGGAAAGCCCAGGAACGCAGAACAGATGGCGGCGTGGCGTCCGAAGGCTGAAGCAAGATGAGAGAGGAACTTATGGCTTGCCCTTTTCCTGGGCTCATCCCCTGGATGTCGTCCGGCACCACGGTTGTCTTTAAGGAAGGACAGACAGGTCGGCCCACCATGGGTTCCCCTGACTGTCTCAAGGAACAGCCAGACTTGAGTTGCTTCACACTCAGCACCCCGAATCTCCTTTGTTCCTCACCAATATAGGGTATCCCTGGAGCCACCATGGCTCCAGCCAAGGTCACCTCGGAACTGTTCACAAAAGAGACCAAAGTAAACGCCCCATTCTCTACTGTCAATGTCCAGTGGCTTCCCTTATGCCCATCTAAAAATGGATGCTGGGGTAGCTCCACCCTGTTGGTTGACTGGTCTTGGTTCTGCCTGGCTGCTCTGTCTCGGGGCCTCCAGAGTAGCTGCTTCTTCATGGGTCCCAATGTCAGCTACACTTTGTTCTCGGACTCTAAACCCAAGTCATGGAAAGCCTGGATCAGGCAGAGGCCACCCAGCCTCGCACATTTTGCTGAATTTATTGCCTGGCCAAAGTCAAGTATCTCTGCAGCCTGTTATGTTCAGAAACACCTTCAACTGGATGGCACTGGGGCCCCACAAATGGTGTTCATGTCTTTTCCTCCCCAACCTTGCCTTAATTTTTCTCTATTTGCTTCCAAAGGAACAAAAGAAACGTTCACACAAAAGAAAGTCAAAAGCAAGGGAAGAAAGAAAACAACCGGCCAAGGGACACCCACCTCCCCCACAGCTTTGCTCCTACCTACATTGTTACTTTGCAGAAACCTGCCACAGTAGGGGAGATCTCTGCCTCTTTCCTTTCCTCTGGATTCTTCTCTGGACAGGGGTCCCAGTGAGCCAGAGGAGGCTGTAGTCAAGAAAGTAGATGCTTAGGGCTGTGGCATAGTCGTCATGCGTGGCACTGGAGGCTGTGTGATGGAGTTCAGAGGGAGGGGTGGGTGGGTGTGTGAGTGTGTGGACCTGCTTGTGTGGTGCTGTAGAATCTTCTATGAATCAGGCAAGCCTCCTAAGCAAGAGGCCAAGCCACATAACTGTACGTGCCGCTCTTCTCCCTAGGCAGCACTCTTTCTCCTGTGGAAGGAACCAAAGTTTGGATCAAAAGCAACCAGGTCCAGCAGGCATCTGTACAATGTGGACCCATCCAGCAGCAGGGAGTCGGGCCAGATGTTTGCTGGGGTGGGACTGGATTGGACAGACTGTTGTGTGACGCCTTCAGCTACCTCTATCACTAGAGCCTAGGCACTCCTGCATTATGGGTGGGTTTTACTGGTGGCTGTCCTGGAGAGAGAGCCACTTGCCATGTCATATGCATCATGGGGGCTCACTGGATGTGGTGGTTCACCAGTTAGTTCATCTTCTTTTTATTCTAGTTCTTCTTCCTTCTCTTTCTCCTTCTTCTTTTTCTTTCTTTCTTCTTCTTTCTTTTTCTTCTTACTCTTCTTCATCTCTTCTTCTTTTTACTTGCTACTCCTTCTCCTCCTGCTTCTCTGCCTCTTCTTCTTTTCTTTCTGCTACTCCCTTTGCTCCTCCTGCATTTCCCTCTTCTTTTTCTTCTTGTTTTTGCTTCTGCTTGTGCTCCTTTTTCACTTTCTCTTTTGACTTTTGTATCTGCACAAACATATGTTCTAGGAAACTGCTTTCTCTGCTGCTCCTTGGTAGTGGGGGATGTTTCAGAAAAGAAGTAGGCCTGGTGGAACTTCACTTTCATTCTTAAAGGATCAGAGATAAAAGTCACCGATTGTGTCCCTCTAGTTTACCAATAAGCTGTCCACTTGTTCCTCTGAGGTCAAATGTCACAGTAAACCCACCATTTACCCAGTACCTGACTACATGCCTTATATCCTGTTCTCCTTGTGGATGCTCTAAGTTGGAAACTCTGAGTCACTAGGAGCCTCGGCAAGTTGTTGCCCGTGTCATTTCTTGTCAGTGAAGCCTGTGAACACTCAGCACTAGCAGGAGCCATGCAATCTGTAGAGAGCTAAAGGAAGGGCAAAGGCTGGCTGTCTCTACAGAGTTCCCACAGGGTCTCCTGCATACTGCCTCTTGGTCCTAGGGTCCCCTGTGGCTAGTGGTGGATTTTGTCATAGGTGGCTGACTCCTTTCTGTTCTCCCTGTATGGTTTTGTTTCTTTTTTCTCTTTACTTTTCTCACAAGGCAAAAGGCGGAGGCTCTCGACTTGGAGGGCCGGTGTTGTGCTTGTGGTTGGTGTTTGTAGAGCCGTACTGCCATCAAGCGGAACCTGTTTCTGGAAATGAGAGGCAGCTGGGCACAAGTGCTGGGAAAAACGCAGGAGCACAAAAGAGATGGCAGCATGGAGCCCGAAGACTGAAGCTGGACGAGACTGTAACTGCTCACTGGGCCTTGGCCTGGGCTCATTCCCAGGATGGTACCCTGTCGCCTAAGCTATCGTTAAGGAAGGGCAGGCAGGTTGGCCCACCATGGGTTCCCCTAGCTGTCTCAAGGAACCGCTGGTCTAGAGTTGCTGCACACTCAGCAGCCCGAAGCGCCTTTATTCCCCGCCAAGATGAAAGATCCCTGGACCCACCATGGCTCCAGCGAAGGGCACCTCAGAACTCTTCAAAAAGAGACCAGAGTAAACGGTCCCATTCTCTGTCGTTAGTCGCCTGTGGCTTCCCTTATGCCCATCTCAAAATGGCTGCCGTGGCAGTTCCACCCTGTGGTCTGAATGGTCTTAGGGCTACCTGGCTGCTCTGTTTCTGGGCCTCTAGAGTCGCTGCTTCTCCAAGGGGTCCCAATGTCAGGTACACTTTGTTGATGGGCTCTAAACCCCAGTCACGGAAAGCCTGGATCAGGCAGAGTTCACCTAGCCTCACACATCCTTGCTGAATTCAGTGCCTGGCCGAAATCAAGTATATCTGCATCCTGTTTTTCATGTTCAGAAAGAACTTCAACTGGATGGCACTGTGGCTCTACAAATGGCGTTCACATCTTCTCTTCCCCCACCTTGACTTAGTTTTCACCATTTGCTGCCAAAGGAATGGTAGAAACACACACACACAAGTAAAACCAAACTAGGAAACAAAATGTCCAAGTAGTACCCACCTCACCTACAGTAGTGCTCCTACCTACATGGTTACTTGGAGGAAACCCTACACAGTAGGGGGGATACCTGGGTCCCTCCTGGTTTCTGGATTCTTTTCTTGGCAGGGATTCTAG